TGTTTTTAAATAAACGTTACTTACCTAACAACAAATACCCTTATCCTTATTTATTCACTTATTCAAATGGACAATAGGGATTTTAGTTTCCGAAGCAATTTTAAGTATATTTAAAACCATAATTTGGAATATTTTATTAACCGTTTTTTTTTTATATATTTCGTTTCGAAAAAATTAAGCTTTTATTCTTTTTTCGTATTCAAGTGTACAGCATATAAAAATTACTAATTGACACATTTATAATTTTAATTTTTAAAACTGTTTACAACTGTACATTAAGTTTATACTTAAAAAAAAAAAATAATATTTTTGGAAACGTTCAATAAAAAAGGTATGAATAAAAAATATATATCGACGCTTAAGATGTGATTCCTCGTAAGTGTTAAAACGCAACTTTTCAGGAGAGGAGTAAAACTGTATAAAAACGTTTTTTTTTTACACTAGATGATTTACAACTGGAATATTTCTCTATTACAACAAATTATATTATTCTTAACTGACAATTAAGCATTGACACGATTTACTTTTTTTTAAATGCACATACGAGGTATCACGTTTTAAAAATTATATAAAAATGTAGTTACGTAAAATCACTCTTAGTGAGAGGTGCAAAATTAAACCATTTTTGCAAAAATATTCTTTATTTTAAGAAATACTACACAAAAAACTCATGAAAACTTTAACAATTATTCCATTGTTTCTTAATGTTGAACTCAACTTAAAAAATATAAAACAAGAATTTAACAAAATAATGGCAAGAAAGGTATTCTTTTTATTCTCCCAAATGGGGCAAGTTATCATAAAAAGAGTGACAGTCTTTAGGAAGCACAGCCTTCAATTGTTGAAGATGGTCCCATTTTTGTTTCTTAATTTTTAATGGTTTGTTTCTCAATTGTGGAAACGTCTTGAGGTCAGAAACAGATTTATTATCTTTCTTTCTTCCTGGAAGGTTCTCAAATTCTTTGTCAAAGCCAAGTTTAACTTGAATACTGCCATCTGGACTATATTTTATGACTTTAATATCATTAACTGTCGGATCATTTACTTTCTTGCCAGGCCTAATGGAAGCAAACTTTTGATTTTGGGAGTAGTCTTTGACGAAATCATGAGAGATGTTTTTAACTTTATAGGGTTCTTTTTGTCTGGCTTCTTCAGTGATTCTGCAGTAGTCACTAGGCAAATAAATTGACTTGTTTTTTAGCTTTCTTTCGATTAGCGCGTGAACCGAATCAGCTTCCATTTGGGTGTGTCCCTTCTCTAAATATTTCTGATAAATACAAATATTTTTGTGGACACTTAAACTTAATAAGGCATTAGACAAGACTGAATTTTTATTTTGATATCCACATCCGTCGCTCCAAATAATTAAAAGTTTTGAAATATCTTCCAGGTCAAGAATGTAATCAACTATGCAACTTGCAAAGGTATTGGCAGTTAAATCTGCTTCACACTCGTTGAACCAGTAACAGCAGCAATGATGTGTGGTTATGTTGAAAATCGTGAAATTATGGCAAAGTAGTTTGGTTTTATAATACAGGGCAGAGGCGTTCAAAAAGGGACAAACTTTAACTGCTTGAACATCCTGTGTCGAAACAATTGCAATTACAGTCTTAGAATGTTACCATAGTATTAAGAAATGTATTTATATTTTATTATGTATTATGTATTTCTGTCGAAACAAGTAAATTTTTTACTTATCGACTCAACCACTTTATTTATTATGATTTATATGTTTAATTATTAGTATCTTGTATTTTATATATTATTTATGATAATTAAAGTTTTTTATTTATATATTTATATATATTTATTATACCTTGTTGACCCATCAATTTGTCCTTGGCCTTTTCTTCTCTTGCTAACTGTTTTTTCTGGATGTGATTTTGATAATCAGCACCACTTATATTTTTTGTTTCATAGCCGCAGTAGATATCGCATTTTGGCTGTTGAAATGAAATATTTTTTTCTCTAGAAACTGGCTTTACTGTAGAATTTTTTTCACTGCACATCTTAGAGTATTCTCGGTAAACCGCTGTCATAAAATCCCCATAAATCGGCTCAATATAAACTTTTCTAGTTGATTGTCTACAATAGTGAGAGGGTACTTTTGGCAATAAATCTAAAAATTCCAACAGGTATTGTTTAGCTAGTCTGACTAAACTTGTATCCTGTGCTCTTATCTTTCTTCTAGAAGCATTAACACTCTCTTGGGATGGAAGTATCCCGGATTGAGAATGAGATACCCAATTAGAAACAGTCCATTCATTTAGTACAAAGGTTGAAAGGAAAAATGGTTTACATACAGATAAAATTTGTCCGTTGACATCCTTTATTGTGTATTTTAAGCTACTAGAACGTCGTGTTTTCTCACCTGCACCTTTAGTCGATCTTGCTGTTAAACTTTTAAGAACAAGAGAAGCAATGTACACCTTTTTCTGGTCCCAGCTCATATCTGACCAAAACTTTTTAAAGAGTTCTTGTCTGTTCTCTTCTGAAATTGTGTGACATTTGAGAGTCTTGGACTTCTTACACAAGGTTGAACCACAGCATGGCCCTATTTTTCTTTCTTCTCTTTTTTTTCCTCTCTTTGCTGGCGTATTTTTCGGTCTGCTCCAACCAACGTATGCCTTTCCTTCTTGTCTTAATTTTTTGTTTTTAAAGTCAGTCCACTTCTCTTCCATTGCCATACCTTTTCTTTTTCTACTTTTTAAAATGACAGCATCGGAATCCGACGATTCTGCCGCGCTTTCATCTGGTACAAAATTAGGGTCACGTTGTTCTTGTACTATTTGAGTGCATTCTTCTACTTGTTCGTTTTCCTTCTCTTTCACTATTTGAGTATGTTCTTCTGTTTCTGGTGCATGCGTATTAAGATTTGATTTTGTTGTTTGGCTATGTTGCCCAACTTCCTCTTCAGGATCGATGTTATTTGTGAATTGTAGAACATCATTAAACTCCAAATATTTTGTTATTCGTTCGTCAGCTTCCGGGTCTAATGGTAGTAAATCATTTTGAGTAGCGTCAGTTATGTTATTTAATATTATGTCGATAACATTATTATTACCGCTGCTGAAATTTAAGGAGGAATCACTTATTAGTGGTAAAGATGTTCCTTCGGGAGCATTTTCAAAAAGAACATTTTCTTCTTCCAAATTTTTGGATGCAGCCAAGTCGTCATGTACAGATAAACTAAGTGTAGGTTGACATTGTTTATCGATTGAAGGATTACCAGATATTTCTTGTCGAAGTTCGTCGTACTATGTACATTTTTCTAAATTTAAAGACAATTCATCCTGTTTGTTTGATACAGTAGTGCTTTTAGTGTGTTTCGCACTAACCATTTCAAATATTTTCCGAGTTCTGGATGAATATTTTTGTTTATCTTCCATCTTAAAAGTTTTTGTTTGATCTGAAACAATAAGAGAACATCATTAAAAATCCTGATTTGTATCTTAACATTAAGGTGACAACTCGTAACTTTAAGAGTGAATAAAAACAAATTGATAGTGATACCTCGTATCTACAAATAAAAAAAATAGGGCTTAAAACTTACGTAAATTAGGAATTTATGCTATAAGTCCTTAAAAGGCAACCTAAGATATTGTTTTTTAAAGTATTTATTACTGACATAATATACGAGTTCTCAAAAAATTATGTTAGCAGCATAGTTGCCAGATATCACTATAGGTTGTTTGATTCGGATTCATCTATAAATACACTTTCGTGGTATTATTGGACAAATGAAGCGATTTTTTTTGAAAATTTTCATTACCTTAACTCATATACACTAAAAATGTAGATATGAGGTATCACATCTTAACCGTCGATATGGTTTATTTACAATTACAAACCACAAGCTTAAGAAGATAACTATACTGTTTGCGTAGTAGTTCCTGATTTTATAATGTGCATTAAGCCTCTAATGGCAATAATTTATACAGGGTGTATCATTATTAACTACAAATAGAGAACACTCTTTTCGGTGCTGTAAAATGTTGTAAAATACTATAATTTACAGAACATCAACACATGCAAGACTCTTAAGACTCTTGCAGCAAGACCAAGACCTAGCTGTGCAAGACCAAGACGAAGACCAGCTGAAGGCTTGCAAGACCAAGACCGAGTGTGCAAGACCAAGACAAAGACCAACCCGATCTTGGTCTTGGTCCTGTTTTGCTCATCACTATTTATGATATAAGTGCTAAAAGTGATATTTTATTTTGTGAGAAGGGAAGTTTGGAACACGACGCCAAAAGCGGAGTGTTCCATCCCTTCAAAAAAAATTTTTGTTCGGCAATGTTTTTTTGGCTGACCCAATTTAAGTAGAGGTATTCGTTTGTAAATTGTTTGAAAATAAGTTTATGTTAAAAACAAATAAAGTTTTTAGGTAAATTATTTCTGTAGTTTCCTTTAGTATACCTATTTTTGAACCTATATAAAAAAAATTGTAGTAGTTACGCTAGATAGGGGGAGGCACCAACTCAGGATTTTGCACACTGTGGAAAAAATGCTACCGCCGGCCCTGTCCACATAATATCACCTATACTCAAATAATGTTGCCCTATCCTCTTCATTCCCTGGATAAATTCCTGTGACATAGACTATACTATTCCTTTCTATAAAAACTATTAATGGAGGGTCAGTCTCAATTTTAAAAATTACAAATTAGCCTGAATAAACAAATAAAAAATTACTATATTGTTCTATACTTATGATTTGCCGTAACCATTTTGAATATAATTTTCATTGTTTTAGATCAAAATATTGGATAAAAGAAGAGAGAAGCGGATATAAGGTTTTCATGTGGTTGGTGATACGATCATTTTCATCTACAGACAGTGGCACATACAACTGTGTATCTACAAATTCTTTAGGAAAAGCAGAAGGAACCTTAAGATTATACGGTAAGTAATTAATTATTCAAAATTGTGTGAGCATCAACAATAAAAAAAAAGTTAAATGTATTCAATCAATTTAATTTAATGAATTATTACATTAATTTACTGGCTTACAGTATATATAGAATTTTCTAACGCAAATTCTAAACTGTCGAGCAGATTTTTTACGCCACCAGCTTTACTATCCTTGCATTTATTCGCAATTTGATAAAACTTTCTTTTATCGGCGAACCCATCCTGTTTCTCTGTAAATATTTTTGGTTGAATATTAAATTCCTTCATCAAGTACGACGATTTCATTACACAATTCTGTAGGTTTGTGTCATCAAATACATTTTTATTTTCAATAGTTTCTTCATTAACATCATGTTTGATTTCATTTAATTGGATCATGGAAGAGTCTTCAATCATACGCGCTTTCAGTTCTGATAATTCTTTCTTGTGGTTAAGCTCATCTTCATCCTCGTCATCAGATTTCGTTATGGTACAAAGTTCGTCACAAAATCCATTAATATCCACAATATCTCGTTTTAAGTCAGTAAATTTCTTTAGTTTTCTTTCTGATAGATCTATTAATTGAGATATATTATCGGTGTTATTGTTTTGAAAATCGTCCAGAACGATTTTGAAAGAATTCCTTTGAGGTGATCTTTCAAACTGATCTGTTTTGTCAATATCTCCTATATCTCCTAATTCGTGATTGTTTTCTACCATATAACTCTTTTTTGGATCTAACCAGTTATATTTCTTCGCCCCACTGTTTAAATCTTTCATCTGCTGATCCAAATCGAACCGTACCGTTTTTGAAAATGATTGTTCTGTTTCCATTTCTTTTTGATCTCCACCTGGCTTGTTAATTGCATAATTATTTATCCATGCATTTTTTTTAGTTTCAATCGTACTTACATTTTTATTTTCAACGCCAAGGTTACTGCAAGAAAAATTAGCAAGAGTGTCATCAGAAGTTAATGAAATATCCTTAGAATGAATTGGCTGAGTATCTTTAGAATAAAGTTTATATTTATCGACCGGCACTGAAGCATCTGGAAAATTTAAAGATTTTAATAGATTATTGTTGGGTTTGTCCAATGTAATTTTGGTATCTTTCAAAGTCTCGGAATTACCGCTTTCAGAAAACTCTTCTGTTATTTTAACATCTACTATATCTTGTAATTCTGATATAGCTTCATCTAGAGTTTGATCAAATTTCTTATCCGGGAAGAAAGTTTGATTTTTATAAAGAGTTTCTAAAGAAGATTGTGTGAATCTTTCTTTAACACTTTTGTAAACTACTTGAGGTCGTTTATAAAATTGTTTTTCAAGATCTTTAAGTTTTTTTCTCAGCGTGGAGATGCTACTCAAGCGGGTATTTTTCTTAGGTTTTGGTTCACTTAAAGTTTGAGTTTCAGCTTGTATTTGTTTTCTTTCCAGCAATTCCTTAAAATGGCGTAATTTCTCGTTAGCAACTTCCAGTTCTCGGTTAGTGATATCTAAGAAAGTAGATGTAGTTTGATGTATTCTGATTTTTGAATCTTTTGAAAGAGAACTCTCTGCATGTGATAATTTTCTTTTAAGTTCATACGATGTGGTAGAAGATGGTTGATGTAGTTTTTTCTCAATTTTCTTCTGAGGCTTGGGTGAAGAATGGGTTTTTGGAATAGCTTTGTTGGGTTTTATTACAGCTTGTTCCGCACCCATAATAGGCATCTCTAACTGAATTGTTTTTACCTCAATCCGAGGTCGAAACTGGGCACGTTCATACCGATAATAGGGTTTTTTTCCAAAATTTTTATTAAAGAGGTGTCCATAAATTCTTCTAAATTCTAAAAAGTCATCGTCAATTGGTTCAACGTGTTTTTTTATAGGGTTTGAAGGGATAGCGTGGACTTTAATAGAAAAAGGATCAGATTCCTTTAAAGTTTCAGGTACTATTTTCTTAAAGCAGCTCATACTTTTTGTAAATTGTGACGTTTTTTTTTGGTTTCATATTGACAGGAGATTTTACTATTTAATCAATGAATCAATCAAAATAATGTAACCATAGGACGAGACATTGTGTACCAACCACATACTTTGATTACTATACGGTGCAAGAGAGACGTCCGACACGCCCAACATAGGGCGCGGCTACTTTGATGTAATTACTACTAGGTTAGGCAACACATTTTTCCAAAATGTTAAACTGGTAGCCTACATCTTAGTATCTTGAAATTTTAAATGAAGGCAACAAATGTACAAGAAACGTTTATTTATTTGAAATAATATAAAAGAAACTTCTTTCTATAAAATAAAAACAAAGAAATGTGAGATTAAAGAAGCTCTAACTACAAAATATTACCAGAGGAATATACTCTTGCAGGCAAGCTGCAACTATTTAAAATATAATAAGAAAGACACTTTTATTTATACCCTCTAAAAGTTCAAGCAAAGAAATGGTGAAAATTCAGGAAAGGAAATCGAATAGAAAAAATTCAAAATATGGTAGTAGATAGATTTTTATAAACTAACCCAAGAACTTTTGGTTGAATATCTACAATTCACTATGGTTTAAACTATCCTCAAGTGATATCTTTAGGATACAAGTAATGCCAAAATAATGGACTTTAAATAAAAGGACAGGCAGATCTTCTATATTGTTTATATGTATATTAATGAATTGGACAAGATCTTAAGGTGAGAATTTTAATGAAGTTGTAAATAATGAATCAAAATACATATTCATAGGTAGATAACAATATGCTCCATAAGCCCTTTATGAATCTAAAGTTAACTGTTAAAATAAATGATAAAATAAATAGAATGGGTAAATGCAATATTAAGGGTTTATATTAGATACTGAGTTGAAATTCAACAGTCACCTATGATTTCCTATTGCGTATATCATCATATCTCTTAGTATCGACTAGGATTACAGTTTATAATACACTTATTCTATACCTTATTTTCATTACAGCTGCTCTTTAATATACACAGGATGTTTTTATTCTACTTTTAAATAACTATTAAATATTACAGGTCATTTTCTAACTGTTCCAGATAAACTGTTTAGCAGAGGGGGATATTTTCTTAATGAGGCTGTGGGCTACCTCTACTTTCAGGTGTGTAGATGAGCCACAGGTAGTAAACCTGAAATAAATAAAAACAATTATAATATAAATGTTCCAAAAAGTAAACAATATTACTCACATGTTTAGTTATATTATTTCGTTTGATTTTAATACTGCTCCTATCTATTGAAGTAAATGCTTCAATTTTCTTGGTATTTGCCTTCTACAAAGAATTGTTTCATGATTGATCACATATCTTTTTACATGAGAGCAATAAGCATTTTCCTCAAAATGCTGAGAACAGACATAACAGAGTTTACTTAAAATAATTTCTAAACAATTTGATTAATGGTTTGTAAACACTGTTTAAGTTAAGTGCTTGAAATTCGTAGGAGACCTGAAAAATAAAAAGCATTTGGAATACAATAGGAACATAATTAAAGTAGTTACTGTTACTTGCAAATGGAAAGATTTAACATAAAATCACCAAGTAAAGCATGGTTTTCAAGATATTCATTATTTGTTAATGGTTTTGTAAAGTGTAGATTCGTAAATAATATCTTTGGGGACTGACTTTGGATAAATATTATAACATAACCTCTAAAACTATTACGCCAAGATGTAGGCAACACGTAATAAGTGTTCAAAATGGCGGAGTTTTCTATCTCCTTTTACACGGCACTCAGAAAGCTGTGCAGTGCCATCATTCTCCGTATAGTAAGAGAAAATCGAAGTATGTGGTACCAACCTTATTGCTTAAACCTAACATTTATCTAGGTTATACATTAGCTATTATATTCTAAATTATATATCACGGTCACGATGAATAGCAGTTAAACTTTTAGAGCATGTTAGACTGGAAACTGTGGTATAATTATCATTAATCCAGTGTTTCGTGGTTTTGGCACCGAATTCTTTAGGACTAAACCGATTAACATGCAATTAGAACAGTAAGTAAAGAATGGCTCAAAGAAGAAAAGTTATATTGTGCCGATGTGCGCTTTCATCGTGGGTGAAAATTAATAAACTCAAAGAAACTGCAGATATCTTTAGATTGAAGTTTTCTTAGAAAAAATATTTTATAAAGTTTTTTTGATAGAACAATAGTTATTCGCAATTGAAAATAATATTTTCTAACTGCAAAAAAGGATGCAGCGCAACTTGTAGCATCTAACGTATGTGATACCTAATGTAAAAAAAAATTCTGTTTTTTTTATATGGCTTGAGGTCCAAAGTCACATAACATCGGTAAACTTAAAAGCATCAACAACTTCGCATATTGAAACATCTTTTGCATCGGAAATTGTTCGAATAGGAACGAGTTACTACGAAATACCTTTAAATTAGTTTGGCCGAATTTCAAGTCAGTTTGGGCCGTCCACCCTTTAAAATCCACCCTTGAAATATCTCTAAAAACTGATGTATGAACTGAATGAGGCGAAAGATTTTCTCAGATTTTGAACTGTTTTTTGTTGGTATCAAACTTTTTTGTTCTCAAATGACCTCCGCAGTATTCAGCGGATCGAAATACATAAGAATTATGCTTGGTTTCGATTCATAATTTTTTTTTATTACTAATTATCTTATTTTTACTATTTTTACAATTTACTCGATATTGAAGGGTGGACGGCCCAAACTGACTTGAAATTCGGATTCAGCGGGTCAAAATACATGCCGGTAGATAGGTCGTGTCTGATGTACAAACAACTTTTTTTTTGTGTGCCGGTGTATTTAGATATCCATTAATTAATTCTCTAAATTTATTAGTTTATCGAACGAATATATATTTCATATCCTTTCTACCTAGTGAGAATACTGGAAAAAATGAAATCCACCAATTATTTGAGTTCATATTTTGGTCACCCGGCTACTTATATTTAAAAAAACTTTTTGAATGATTTAGATATTCCTATTACACCTAATATAATTATTTTTCTTCTTTCAGAAATAAAAGTTGGTCCAGATCATCACAATAATAACGTCATTGTTGGAGGTAAGATTTAGAAAATAAATATACCAATAAAGACATAAAAAAATTAATTTAAAAGCCATAACAAATGCAGAATATTATATTATATATATTATATAAATTGTCATTAGTTTTCCAAAGAAAAAAGGTTATTTTTTTATATAAAGTATGTTACCTGATATTCTAAATAATAGTGTAATTAGATATTTTAAGATTACATTTTTGACAACTTTAATTCTAAAAACTTAAAATTTTCCACTTCAAATTTTATTTGAAAAGTTATCTTTGTGAATTCATAAAATACGTCAGAGATTTCAGTTTTTTTCAAATATGTACTTTTATGCAGGGTATTGTTTTAATGCTGCAAGATTTTTTCCGTTGTTAGAATCCTAATTATTTAAATAACTTAAATATATCAAATATACAGGGACCTTTGAAAACTTACAATGGCTATATTTATATATTAAAGAAAGATATCAAAAAAATAAAAAATAACTTTTCTTTAAAAAACCAGGAAAAACCCAAATGACAAATTTTTCAAACTACCCCCACCACCCCCTTAAGCCCAACCCATATTGACGTAAAAATATAAAATTACATTACCCCACTCGTGATACCTATTTGGAAAGCTTATTAAACATCATTTTCCCTGGTCATAAAAAACTTACCTCAACTTCAAGAAAACTTTTATTTGAACATAATCAAATTAACAATAAGAAGAATTACATTAAATTTTCAAAATGATAGCCATTTTATTCGAGACAACAGTAAATACGATTTTCAAATTCGTGCTGCCTTATCTTTGCACAAATTTAACGCTCGCAATATTCTCCAGACACACAGCATAGCGAAGTTTTCCCAGTGGCGCGCTTATAAATACAATTTTAGGTGAGACTGGGGTATAATGATCCCCTTAAGGCTAATTTCGTTATATTTTTGCAAGTACAGGGATATAAATTTATTTGTCTTTTCTAGAGGATTTGATGTCCATTTGACAACAATTTAGAATTTAAAAAGATGTTGATTTTCTTTACATTTTGGAATGACAATGATGTTTGTTAATATCTGCAAAAGAATAATTTTACCCAAATGCTAGAGGTAAAACGATCCCCCACATGGGGCAAAATGATCCTATTTTCAAAACATTATTTTATTATTACACTTTCGATAAATAATATAACAATAAATGCAAAACATTAATTTATTTATAAAAAAAGCATAAAACATAACATACAAAGCATTAAAATATTTTTAATACTCTTAAGGGAGTAAACAGAAACTTGCTCAACATTAACTTAAGCAACTTTTAATACATTAACTAATTTAAAACTTGATATTTTTCTTAACTCTATAGGTTTGGGTTTGATGCAAACAGAAATCACACTAAAAATCGCAATCGTTCTCATCGATCCCGGCACACTGATCATGAGCCCATTTTCGGCATTTAATGCACCTGATCCATCCTTCGCCAGTCAGAGAAGCAGCGTATTTTTCGCAGCAAAAGATGCACTTTTCTGATTCTGATCCGCTGTTACTGCTTGAGTCATCACCTTCCTCTACTACTTTTTTGTGTTCTTGTTTAATTTAACTTTTTTCGTGCCTTCTGATTTTGACTTGTTTTTCTTTTTTTTTTTTTTTAGCCTCTAGTTCAATTTTTTTCCTATTTTCTTTAAGCATGATTTTGTATGGGGTACCAACAGACTCGTTTTTGAGCTGCTCTCTTTCCCTTAATTTTTGGAAGAGGATTGCAATCAGCAGGGGTTACGGTAAAGGAACTTTCCACTTCGACTTCACATTGGTCTCATACCTAATTTGTAATTGCTGGAGAGATATCCAGTCGTGTACTTGGCCCAAGAATTGGAGAACTACGTAGAAGTGGGTTGGTTGCAGAGGTTTCTTCATTATTCTCTAAGTTTTCTTAATTATTTTAAGCA